TGGAGAGGATAGAGAAGGGGAGAAGAAGACTGAAAGGTGTAGAGGAAAAGGAGAGGGCGGGAGAGAGGAAAAGGGGAGACAAATGAGCTGCAGGCAGTACTTATTCCCAGGAAATTATATTGTGACCAATCAGAGGACTCTGTGCGTGGAGACGGGGATGACAACCCTGCTCACTGTGAGGGATGGCAAGAGAGGTTTGGGGAACATGTTACTCGCTAGCACTCGGGACCTGCTTTCCTGCTTAGCCTCCCCGAGAATGTGTCTGGGAGTGTTCCTGGGAGGTTTGGATTCCTTGGCTTTGAGTCTGCTTCTGTAGCTTGGCATTCCCTGTTTTTGCAAAACCTGCAAGGTGGCAAGATAGCGGATGTTGGCGGGGTTGGACATGCAGATATCTGTTGGATATGCAGAGCTCCTCTGGGGCAGGAGGGACCAGCGCAGGCAGCACCTCTGAGACTCTGCCGCCAGCAGGTGTGTCTGGGTCATAGGCGGCGGGAAAGGCAGTTTGTTGGCAACCTTCAGGCGCCTGGCCAGCTCCAAGTGTCTCTTTTCTCCTTTCCCATCGACTGTTTTCAATCCATCTGGACAAGTCACACACTCGTCCTTTTCCCCCCTTTGTGCCTTCTCTTCCGGCTGCCAGAAAATATTCCTGTCCTTCTTACTCAGGACATCCAAGCTGTTGGAGGAACAGCTTTTCAGCGGGGGCAGAACCACGAGGTCCTTGGATGTGAGGGAGTCGGAGACGGAGAGGCCCCGGTCACTGCTTCCACAGGGGTTTCTGCAGGTCTTGCTGCTAACTGTCTCGGGCATGGCCCACTCTTCCATGCACCAGATAAATTCCTTGATTTGCAGGCTTTTTTTTTCCCCATGCAAATATGTGGGAAAGCAGAGTTTGTTAGGCTCTCTGGAAGCAGTACTGGGGTCCCGGGAGGGGCTGCTCCAGTTCTTCTCGGGGCTCCAGTTCTTCTCAGGGCTCACCTCAGCCACAGCACCGGCCTCCAGTTTCCCAACCTCTGAGAGGGAACAAGCCTCCAGACACCCTTGGGAAAGACTCATACAGAACAAGCAGTCACTGCCGCCACCAGTGCCTTCTCCTACCCTCCCCTTTTTCACTTTCTTCTTTGACCAGATGCAGGCAGTTGGTGAGGTTCGTCCCCAGCCGCGGACCTGCAAAGAAAGTAGCGTGTTACGCTCTAGCTAGCGGTGCCAGGGCCTTGCTCCCCCCGTTTGGGCTACACTCCTGTTCTGGCAGTCTTATTTGAACCACATTTTTTTTTCTTAAAACTGACTTATCTTAAATACACAGAGACACAGACACAGAAGACAGACAGACAGACAGACACACGTCTTATCATGGAGACTAGCTGACCATAAACTCACAATACTCCTGCCCTCTGCTTCTGAAAAGCAAACAAAACTCCCAGCCTTTACTAGTTCTGCCTCACGCGAGCAGTGCTATTACAGCCGTGGATGATGCTAATCTCAACTACTAGCCAGGAGTGGTTGTTTCCTGTACAAAGCTACGGGACTGGCTACGGCTCCCTTCAGACACAATTCAGCTTAGCACCGCGGACCCAAGCTGCCATGCTCGCCCAAGGATTTCTTGTACTGTCAGTCAGTTTCCCAAACGCCAGGAAGATGACTCAGAAAAGGCTGGAGGGCCAGAGAGGAACAGACGCAGTCCTGGGAACCCAAGATTCCCGAGCGCCCAAGGTACAGCTATGCCTACCGACCCCTGGAGCCCCTGGCTGCAGCTGCCATCTAAGAATAAAGGATTGTATCTGTGACAAACATAATGCTAAGTAGTTAGGAAACGCTCACCTGAAACACAAATGGGGCAACCTGTATTGTTGGTTGTGCAACCTGGAAACCCTGCATTTAATCTTGGATTTGATCGAGTTTCCTTATTATTTATAATTTTTTATTGAGAGAGAGAGAGAGAGAGTGTTTGAGTTCACACAGGCATGTATGATTTATGTATGAATGAGCATGCCACAGTGTGAGTGTGAAGGTCAAAGGCAATGTGGAATCAGTTCTCTCCTTCCACCTGTCTTTGGATTCCGGGGATCGAACTCAGGTCTCCAGACTTGCACTGCAGCTGCCTCTACCTGCTGAGCCATCTTGCCAACTAAGCTCAGCCAACTAAGTCACAAGGCCCCACGTTCTTTATGAACTTGTGCTGCCTAGGCACCTGCCTTACAGTTTCCAATGTCGGCTTCCACCGCTGGCTCTGAGAAGGCACGGGACTCTAGAGGGCAGAGAGGATCCAGTCTGCGGGTCTCTAGGTGCTGAGCACGGGGCTGGAAATATTCCGGCCCTCTTTGTCCAGTTATTGGTCAAGTGATCTCTGTGTACCACATTTTACCTCACAGAGTGAGGCCCCAGATGGCTACAGAGGTGTTGAAAGAATAGCGAAATGCTTACGTGTCCGTGGAGAGCTGTCCATGTGTGCCCAGGAGTGCACACCGCTGCCACGATTTCACTTCTGCCCCAAGGCTCCTATGTTCACGCCAACATGTTTTGGTAAGATAAACTACTTTGGAAAAAGATCTGTAGTAAAGACCCGAGTGCGGGCGACCCGAGAAGACACTTACAGCTTCTTCCCACCCGGTGCCGATGGCAAACTCGTCGACCCGTTCATCCTCTTCCAGCGTGAGGTTGCTGACGCCGAGAAGACAGTAGACGTGATTCCTTTCGTTTCTCTCATCTGGACAATTTAACGTCTGTGCGGTTTCCTCTGCGCCTTGAATTTTCTCATGTTCGTCATTTCCTACAACAGTCTCACTTTCCTGACAGAGATCCATTGCTGGGGTGACTGCTTATAGTTTTTAACATCTTCTTCCTGCAACGCCCAATTCAACTTGGTTTTAATACTGATTTTTTTTTTAAATCAGGTATCTCAAGTGAAATATTTAAATATATTCAAGAAGACCGAGAATAAATCTTTCAAAATGACCCGTTTCCAACTGCTGACAGAAAAGATAAGGCTAATTTTACTTAAAAACTAAAACTAATCTCTCTCTCTCTCTCTCTCTCTCTTTGTGTGTGTGTGATGGGGGGCGCTGGAAGGACATGCCACGGCGCTCTAATGGAAGTCAGAGGATAACGGTTCTGTCTTGTCTTTTCTTTCTTTCTTTTACACACAGTGGTTCTCGAATCATAGGACTTGTGAGGTAAGTGCATTGACCTGCTGAGTCATCCGCCAACCCACGACAGATGAATTTAATAAAGACCAAAGGAATGAGAGAAGACACCTGGAAGACACTCGCCTTGGCTCTACCTCTGGCTACTGTGACAGAGCTCACAAGGGATGCGGGTCTACACAGGACACTGCTAACATCGAGAGGATGGCGGGGAGTCACAGACTCCCAGGATCCACCTGTTCCCAGAGCCTTCAGAGTTGCCTGGGGTCCACAAGCTTCTGAGAAACCCAAGACGCTTTCCCACAGTGGGTAAGCGGGCTCTTATTTCTCCAAATTTCTGCCAAAACTTGTTTTGTTTTAATTGTTTTAGGAAAGCAGAGTGGGACCAGGTAGACGTGTAGGAAGAAGAGTGAAGCACGTGATCAGCCAGTTTCCTAAGCTCTCTCGGCCCAGCCATATCACTTCCTGTCTCCACCTCCCTAGAACTGTGATTGGGTGTGAGCCACCACCATTTGGCTCTTCTCTTTTTGACTGATTCAATCTGGTCTAGGCCAGGGTGGCCTTGAACTCACAAGAGCTCCGTCTGTCTCTGGGTCAGTCTGTACCGTCTCTGTATCCCGAGTGCTGGGATTAAAGGTGTGTGCCATCACTGCCGGGCCTCTATGGCTAACTGGAACCAAAACACTCATATACATGAAATTAAAATAAACAAGTCTTCAAATTATATAGATATTAAAAAATAAGGTAGAGATTGAGGAAGACGCCCAAGTCAACCTCTGGCTCTCTGTATACGTGTACGCACTCAAGTACATCCAAACACAAGCACACAACGACACACAAGGAGTATGACTGTAGTTGAGGGATGGAGGACACTTTATAGACGAGGAGACCTATGACTGTGTAATAGCCTCTCAGAGTTGTGAGGTTAATCCTGGAAGCTAAAGCCTCAAACAAGAAGCGCACACTTATATTGGCTGGGGCCATCTGATGTAAACAGCACAAGCCTCACCAGTTTGGGGTTTTGCTTTTATTGGGTTTTTAAATTTATTTTTATTTTATGGACACTGGTTTCTGCCTGCGAGTCTGTCTGAGGGTGTCAGATTCCCCTGGGACTGGAGTTGCAGACAGTTGTGAGCTGCCATGGAGGTGCTGGGAATGGAACCCGTGTCATTTGAAAGAGCAGCCAGTGCTCTTAACCACTGAGCCATCTATTGCTCCAAACCCTCTCGACTGATTTTTTTTTTTCTTTTTAAAGACAGTCTTGCTATAGAGCCCAGGATGCCCTGGAACTTGTTAGCCTCGAATTCATGATCCTCTGGTTTGTGTCTCTGAAGTGCTAGGATTACAGGGGTGCAGGGTAGGCCAAAACAAATTCAGCTATAGTGTTTTAATAAGTAAATAACCCTAATCAGGGCTAGATACATAGCTCAAGTCAACAAATGCTTGCCTCGTAAGCATGAGACCTGGGTTTAATCCCCAGCCACCAGACAAAATGCTAGGTATGATGTCATGCATTTCTATTTCTGACACTGGTGGGGCAGAGCTAGGTGGATTCCTGGGGTTTGCTGATCCAACTGGTGAGCCTTGGGACCAGCGAGAAACCCTATGGCAATGAAAATTATTAAAAGTTACTATGTAGCACTATGCAGAATCTCCAGGGAAGAAATGGGTTCCAAAGCCAGACTTTGAAACTGTGAAGTTGGGGGGCTGGGAGATGACTCAGCGGTTCAGAGCATTGCCTACTCTTCCAAGGGTCCTGAGTTCAATTCCCAGCAACCACATGGTGGCTCACAACCATCTGTAATGAGGTCTGGTGCCCTCTTCTGACCTGCAGGCATACACACAGAAAGAATATTGTAGGTTTTGGAGGTGCCATGTCGGGCCGGGAAGGTGGCAAAAAGAAGCCCCTGAAACAGCCCAAGAAGCAGGCCAAGGAAATGGACGAGGAAGATATGGCTTTCAAGCAGAAACAAAAAGAGGAGCAGAAGAAGCTCGAGGAGCTAAAAGCCAAGGCCGCGGGGAAGGGACCCCTGGCCACAGGTGGAATTAAGAAATCTGGCAAAAAGTCAGCTGTTCCTCATATCTGAGATGATGGTGACCTTCTTCCATTCCTATTTAAACATCTGGATTCCCTACTATAACATCATTGCCACCTACAGTTAGAATGAAGTGTTATCCTGGAGCCTGTTGTATATTGTAATAAACTTTTGTAAAAAAAAAATATTGTATACACACTAAATAAATAAATATATATATAAAAAGAAAGAAACTATGAAGCTGGGAACCATGCCTAGCCACATTACTTAGTATGACGTAATACATGATCCTACTCTCAGAAGTAAGACAGTCGGGACTGGATGGTAACACTGCCACCTCCAGCTCTTACGGCCCAAAAGAATTTTCTTCCACCCCACTGCAACAGACTGCTTGTTATTCACTCTCGTTGTGCACAATGCAGAACCTAGGTCATATGCCAAAATGCTCACTGTATGGAGGAAGCTGGGGTTTCTCTTCTACCTTAAGGATAAACATACATAGGCCAAATGTGTTCAGGGCACAGATATGCTGTGCCCCTACAAGCAGACCTCCAAACACAGCGAACTATCAACTGATTGGCTTATGATTCAGAATGTGACTCTGATGTCCTACAATTTGTTCTTTTGCCTTAAAACACCTTTAATTTGCCAGGGATGGTGGCACATACCTTTAATCCCAGCATAAGGGAGGTGGAGGCAGAGGTAGGTGAATTTCTGTGAATTTGAGGCCAGCCTGGTCTATACAGTGAAGTCCAGGATAGCCAGGGCTCCATAGAAAATCAGAAAAAGTGCTCTACCTGGCTTTGAATCCCACCACCCACATGGCAGCTCACATCCATCTTTAACGCCAGTTCTCGCCTGTGAAGGCACCAGGCGCCAACACGGTGTCCAGACATACATGCGACAAAACACCATACTCATAAAAAAAAAATTAAAGAATGAAAAAAAGGAGGACATAGACACAGTTTTGTAAGTGGAGCACTTGAACAGCATACACAAATCACTGGGTTCCACCCCCAGCAAACAGGCATGACGAAGATGTGGGCAGGAGGATTAGACACTTAGGTCATTCTTAACTAACAAATTCACGGTTAGCCTGAGGTACATAAGGCCCTATCTTTAAAAAAAATAATGTTAATTCCTATGCCAATGATCAACTCCACACAAGCAGAGGCTACCTGAATGTGTTGAGGAGCTTGACACCTGCCCGCTGCAAGAAAATGTTGTGTGATTGATTATGTCTGCCACCAAGGTAAAGTGGCCCTGTGCACGTTAGCCTTTGTCAGGCAAGCCAGACTAGGACTGACGAGACGGAGATCCCTACATTTGACTAACACATCCCTAATCTATCAGCAAGCACGGAAAGCAGGGTGACTGGCAAGAAACAGAAGCCCAGGTTACTGAAGGCAAAAGCATGTTACTGACGTCAAGGCAGGCTGGTTCCCCAACCCTCCTAAACACCCTGCCACGGCTTCTCATGGCTCTACACCTCATTTTACTAAAAGCTATGGCTTTAAGGGAATCGGGTATCGGGTATCAGGATTCAGACAGAGTCGAGGCTTGGTGGGGCATGTTTCAACAACTCAGAAGGTTTCAAGAAAGACTGTCTCAAATAAACAAAACTAAATAAAAATATCTTCCTATGTTAATTAACTGTGACATGTACCCTATGGGGTACCCCTGCCATAATGAAGCAATCCTTGAGTTCTTCCAAATACAAGTAGGGCATGTACAACCACCCCTAGATATCAGGTCAGTTCTATTCCAACCACTTACAACTCTCAACTCTCGATTCCCCCACCCCCACCCCCCAGGATCTCGATTTTTGGTTTTGGCAGGGTCTCACTTTGCCCTTTCCGTTTCTGAATTCACGAGGTGCCTAGTCCTGAGAGAATGGCCTTCCGAAAGGCTCCCAAAGCTCAGGGCAGACAGAAAGTTCAAGCCCGATCCTGGCGCCCAGACCAGGATCTGGTCTGGTTCCTCCCTTCTAGTAGTGGTCCCATCACATTCCTCTTCCTTTCACCCGCAGAGCAGCCTCACCTCATCAAGCTCTTCCCCCTCCTCCCAGCGGCTCCTAACAGTGCCACACGCGGCTGGTTGCCCTAACTTCAGGCAGCCCCTGGGGGCTGCACCAAACTCCTCCATGGAACCCTCGACCACGCCCCCAAGGACCACGCCCATCAAACGACTCCTCCCCCCCCCGAGGCGCGCGCGGCTTCCAGACCCCGCCCAATGCAGACTCGCCGTCCCTCTTGTTCGTCTAGCTTACCTGCCCGGAGGGTTGCTTCCTTCCTCGGTTCTGCCACCCGCCCGCCAAGTGTCCTGGGAACTCTTCCCCGTGGCCACGTCCACTCAGACTCCTCTACGGGGCCGCGAAGGAAGGCCCAGAGCGGCTCGTCCCCAGTGGGCAGGCTAGAGCGGGGCCGTTGCCCTAGGTTACGGCCGCGTCGGGGGCGGGCCGGGAGAGGGGCAGCTTGGCGGAAGTGACGTAAGCCTCAACAAAGCGGCTCCAGGGAGGTGGCTCTCTCTGAGCGTTCTCTCCGTGCTGCGCGCGCTGCCTCCAGCGGCCCCTGGGGTAGTGTAGGGCGCCTGCGCGTCGTGACATCTCTGCTGGGAAACTGCGGCCCGCGTGCTTCGAGGGTTTCGCAGCCCAGTTGCGTCGTCTTCAAGAAGGGTCGCGTCAGTTGCCAGGCAAATAGTATCTGCAGATTTGGCACTTGTCCCTTCGCGCAGAATTGTCCCTTCCGTCTTGAGATCCCGCTAGTGCTAGTGGAATGCATGCCCAGAACTACATGAGAAGACTCGTTTTCTGTTTGTGTGCTGTGTAGCATGGTGCGGTCTCACAATCCTGGCGACCCTCCTTCAAAGTCTCCGAAATCAACAAGAAGAGGATTTACGGGCGTGCCTTCCACATCTGTTTAGTTCTTTTCGATGCCGTCCACTTTACTGAGCTTTTGGGAAGTTAGCTCCCACCTCTCAGCCACGCTGCTCTTGTTGCCTCTGGGCACTGAAAGACATACCCCAGGCTGGGGACCTATGCCTGAAGTGAAGCATTGGATGGTAAGTCTAGCCCCCCAACTCAGGTCTAGTTCCAGGGCCCCTCTGCTTTCTAGTTTACAAAGTATTCCTACAGGAGGAAAGGAAAGCACTGTGACTCAAAGGCGGTTGGAAAAATAGCTACAAATGACGACTTTTTACAGCATTAAAGGTAAAGACGTGATGTATGTGGTACATTATTCAATGAGGTTGGAGCAAAGTCCTCTTCTAGAATATGACTACTTGTTAAGATATTTCCATATATATACAAATCTACATATGTATGTAAACACACATATTGCTATCCCAATACATTTCATAACATAGAAGTAATGGTATGATGCATTTCTAAAATGTTTATATGTATACTTAGATTTATTAATGAGGATGTTTTTGTTTGTGGATACACATGTTCCGGGCAGTAATAAAGGCATGCTTAAAGTTAGCTATTTTATTGTTTACCAACACTCATGAGCAAACCCAGGGCTTCACATCTATCAAGACGTGTCTCCGTTCTCACTATGTTGCCTATTCTGGCCTCCAAGTCCGTATCTTCCCTCTGTCCCTGAGTACTGGAATTACAAGCATGTGCCACCAGACCTTGCCACTCAGCCATAATTTTACAACCGAAGGTGGACGCTTTTAAACATCTACAGAAAAGCCCAGAAATTTGGAAAACAAACAAAATTTGCAATCGGCTGAGGAACTCTATAAGGTCTGAAGCACTGGTCTTTTATCCTGGAGCCTGTGCCGAGCGCCCTCTAGTGGTTCCACTAAAACCCAGTATGGTCAACCTTAGAACTACCTTCAAGGTAGTTTTTGTGGGGGTTTGTTGTTGCTTTGTTTTTTTTGTTGTTGTTGCTTCTTTTTGTTTTGACTGCACGTGTGTCGGTGCACCACTTCTATGCCCGGTGCCCATGGAGACCAGAAGAGGAACTGGATCCTCTGGAACTGGAGTTTCCAGTGTTCGCGAGCCTCCATGTAGGTTCTGGAAATTGAACCCAGGTTTTTGGAAGAGCCGCAGATCTTTTACCACTGAACCATCTTTCTGACCCCCTATTATATTTCTGAAGTTTTAAATCTTGGAAAACATTCTTCAAAAAATGACAAAGAAAAAAAAAAACAAGGCAAAGGGAGAAAAGGAAAGTAAGCATTCTTCAAAAGCTTGAGGTTGGGCCAGGTGTGGTAGTGCATGCCTGGGATCAGCGCTTGGGAGAGGAAAGCAGGAGATCTGGGGTCATTGTCTGTCAAAGCCAACCAGGGTGGCAGGCATGCTTTCCCTGCTAAACATAAGCATTATCCCTGGAGGCCTCTGGTCACCAGGTTCCTAGACTATTCTGGTGGCTGGGACCCCTTGAGGCCCGGAAGGGGTCAGGTCCTGCTCCCACCTCCAGATTTCCATAATTAAGGTTCCTAGCCCCTTAAGGTGGGAGAGTGGCCAAGCCCTGCCCTACAGGAAAAAATTCCATCCATCCTTGAACCTGCCCCAAAATTAAGCGACATAATCCTTCCAATCCGGGGCCACCCTGGAAAGTGTGTGTCTGTTCTCAGGCCCCCACCCCCCACCCACCAAGAAACTATATAAACCTGTTCTGCCCAGTTCTCTGCTGCTTCATCCCCAGCAGAAAGCAGCCATCTTCCTGGGGCTTTCATTCCCGATAAATCTCTTGTGTGAGGTTTGTTGTATGATGTGACTTAGTGGTACCCTTGGCTCTCAACTGCCAGGATACCCTCTCTCAGAGCTGTAACACTTACAAAAGGTGGTCTTTAGTTAAATCCTTCATACCAGCCTGGGCTACATGAGAGTCTGTCTCAAAAATACAATACAAACTAGGAGGTGGTGGGCTCACGCCTTTAATCCCAACACTCAGGAGGCAGAGGCAGATGGATCTCTATGAGTTCAAGAACAGCCTGGTCTACAGAGTGAGTTCTGATAGCCAGGACTACACAGAGAAACCCTGTTACGACAAACCAAACCAAAGAAAGAGAGAGAGAAAAAAAAAGAGAAAGAGAGAGAGAGAGAGAGACAACTACTCAACAATTTTAAAAAACCAACAAAACCCCACAAGACCAAAAAACACCACCAAACATCAAAGTCAAGCATGGGGGCTCAAGCCTGTAATCCCAGCACTACAGAGGATGGGGCAAGAGGA